GAATGTAATAATATTATTTCTATTCCTAAGGTAAAATAATACATTTGATCATAATGCAAATAAAAATGGTTTTGCATCTCAAATTTGATATTTGAATTAGAAAATAAAACAAAACCACTTAGCACATCCGAGCTACCAAGACAGCTGTTGGACCAGCGGTTGATGCAGAAAATGCATTAAGAACAAGCATTACACTAAGCATGTATCAATGAACAAGCAGCCACTTGTCTCTGTGAACAGGGCAAGTGCATACCATGCGCATGCCTGACAGACCAGTAGCCATGACAAAGAAAAAAATAGGGAGGCATTTAAAAATCATTGCCTTCCCTATTATCCTGTAATATAGGACTTTTTCCCCTAAAATAATTTCATAAATGGTTGTTATAATCCTAATCAGCCAACAAAGGGAGAGTTAGTTCACACCACAAGATTTACTGTGTGACTTAAAAAGTATTGTGTTTCCACATAAAAATTGGTTTGTTTAAAAGAAGGTACGACACAGTTCAACTTCAGTATGGGTTAAATAAGTATTTGTAGATTCACATGCAAAGTGGACCACATATGTAGCACTTACGCTATCAGGAATTATTGGCTGTTCCAAACAAACTCTTAGAACACAATTCACTTCTAAGTTGGAGAATGCCTACATATAAATCTAGGTGATGCGTCATATACTAAAAGTTCAAAATAACTAAGATGTTTCATCTAGAAAAACAAAATCAAAGTTGAAGTGATTCAAACTTTAAAATCAGTCATAAAATATGTGATTTATATGACCTAAACATCACTATGATGTGCACTGAAATATTCAATTAAAAATAAAACCTGAAGACATCATAAGAAAGTGTCTGATCAAGAACAATAAAGACACAATGCTGGCTTAAGCTTTCCCACCAAAACAGTGGATATAATATAAAAGACTAGAATGTCATTCTGCAAATAAATAGAAAACAGAAATACAAAACAAGTTTATCAAAAGTATAGTGAAGTAGCTGCCAGAGAAAAATATTTTTTTTACTGGCAAAAGGCCAGCTATTTCTCTTTTCATTAAGAAATATTTTAGACAGTATTTTTTTCCTCCAAGAAACACTAATAATATATTATCAACATCCTCTTATGTAAAGACCATAATTTCTATTTAGTAATCTTTTGGTATTCCTGATTACCAGAAAATATGAATTATAAATTCATGTTGGTCAAATATTATCCTAAGCATTAGTAATTCCTTTCATTGTACAGCTTTCTTTCTCTAACGCAGTAATTCTCCAGTAGAAATAACATATCCAAATCACATAGGGACTATTTTGAAAACACACATTCCCAAATGCCACACTCAAAGACTGGTTGACCACGTTCTCAAGTAAAGCCACACTATCTGAAAAATTCCCCCAGTGATTCTGATTGCTAGGTGAAGAATCTGCTTTAAGGGATGAACTGCATACTTGTTCTGCTGACTAGAACTTAACCTGGTCTGCCATTACTGAAACTTAAGATTGTAGCACACAGCTGCCAGTGGCAAAGAGGGAAAACTCCACATTTCATTACTTACAATAAAAAAGTTTAAGGAGTATGATAAAATTATCTATTCAAAGAACATGCAACCAGACTTGAAAACACTTTATATTTATTTTAAAATATGTATTTAGGAAAAATGGTTTTGAAAATGTATAAAAATAATTTCTGTATTAATGCAACTTCAATATTTACATGGTCCCTTTAAAGGATTTTCATTTTATTTTCATCGCAAATGTATTTCAACAACCTCCACAGTATTCTTCAAAGTCAGGAATTTAAAGGTTTTTCTAAAAGAAAAATTTTGGATTCATCTACAGAATATTAATGAAGCTAGGGATGATATCACTGATACTTTAAAATGTAATTATGTCTCAGCTATGCTTATGTTTAGTGATTTAAAAAAATCTTCATCACTAAACTATAATAATCCTAAGTGGTAGCATTTTGTTTAACAACGAAGCACAAAAAAATAGTTTCTCATTGTAAAAAACTTCAATGCTTCAAACAAAAATACTGTATCTGAGGTTTGATTTCACAATATCAAGTTTTTGTATGCAATCTGTAAACATACACCCATTATAGGCTATCAACTTAAATAAAGCCAGTTTTCACTAAAAAAGATAGAGTAAAAATGAAATTTCAGTGCAAAAATACGTATCAATTAGTTATCAACTGATTTAAAGACTATTTTAATATAAAAATCACAACTTAAATCCATAATGTTAAGTCATCCTATAGAGTTTAAATCACTTAAAATAAAAATAACTTGATAACTCTAAACAGTTACCAAGTTTTCCTTTTGTTACTATTCTCTAGTAAAAACTTTCCTTTGATTAGCTTTTACAATGTCATCAGGAGATGCTGATTTGAAGTCAAATGGTGTTATTGCTATAAGAGGACTTACTTCTTTGTCTTTTATGTCTTTAACTTGTCTACTATAAAGAAAAGTCTTATAAAGGTCAAGGGTGCGTCGCTTGCAGCCTTTCAATGGGTAACGAAGACACAGTGTTGAAGCAAAAGCTGAAGGTCTAGCAGCAAGGGCCTTGGTCCAAGACAAAGAAAAAGGTGGTTTCCTAGCCATAGAGACTTTATTGTTTTTCTTATTATCCTTAACAGAAATAGAATTTTTCCCTAGCTTCAAACTTGGAACTTGAGTTCCTGGTGTTGGAGCAACTGACTGGTCTACTACAGGTTTTGAAACAAAATCTGGGGTTTTTATAAGAATGCTAAGGTCAATATTTGAATCTATTTCAGGTGACCTCATTTCAGATGAAATGAGCGTAGAGGAATCTTTCTTAGTCTGAGAGTTGTCTATATTAATTGTTTCTGCGATCAAATCAGAAAGTGACAAATTCTCAAAGTCTCTTGTAGGAGAAGTTTTACAAAATGCCAAAGATGACAGAGATCCTGTTAATTCTGATACTCCAGTTGAAGACTGACACCGATGTGCTAATTGTGACAGGGGAAAGGATCCCAAACTTAGATCGGAGAAACTGGCAGATGGCTGGTTACAAAGATCAGATAAAGTAGAGCACTGACTTGAATTGTTTTCTTTGTGGTCCTGAACCAGTTCAGCTAGAGATGGACTTCCACGCTGAGAAAACTGAAAATTGTCATTTTTAAAAATGTAATTCTTTGCACTTTGTTCAACTGAAGAAACATTTCCAACTTCAGTCATTTTATGAGCATTTAAATTATCAAGAGCCACATTTTCCAGTGAGTGAGTTAGGAGCAAAGGCTGATTTAAACTTTCTAAACTGGTTTGTACTGAAATGTTTTGCAAATCAGGTAGTAGTGAATCATTTTGCATAAGTAAAGGGTTATTTGGCATTGTGTTCTTTATCATTAAGGATTTTAAATCTGGTATTCCCTTGAATACAGAATCATCTTTGGAAACACATTCAGATGCAGGAGGGTTTAACAAATCAGCATCTAGACTCTTTGAAATTAGACTTTCCAGACTATCTGTGGATGATAATCTGATCGATGGCTGACTTTTACAAGAATCTCTTGGCATGTCGTCAACTAGTTCAGCTAATGATAGCTCTTTTCTTAACTTACATGATTCTAGTTTCTTTTCACTTTTAGGCCTGTCAAGTTTCTTTTTTTTATGAAGTAAAAAGTGACTTGGTACAATTGAGGAATTATGATATAATCCATATTTTGCTACTGGACCAGAAAAATCAAATGGTTCGCTACTGCAATCCAAATGGTTTGCAGACTGAGGAGAAGAGCTTTGAACATTATCAGTTGAAACTTCAGAGTAAGATAATAAGACTCCTTACCTTACAAGAGCCATTAATTTTCAGATGAATAGGTTCGCGTATGCAGAAGACAGTCACAGCAACCAAAAGAAAACATGAAATGAGGCATTTAATTACTAAATGTTTCTTTTGATTAGGAAACGAATAAAGTGATATTTGGTCATTATTTAATAAAAAAGCAAACACTCTAAAAACCAATAATAAAATTTACCTTTCTTTAACCATCTAAAGTGACCTTCATATTTTGTTCATTGATATATACAAATGTAAGTACCAAGTTAATCAATGTTTTAATTTCCACAAAACTTTTAATGTGAGGTGTTAATATAGTTGAATTATAGTCAGGGTGGTCTCAAAATTAAAATGTCTGAAAAACTAAGTTTAACTTCCATATTTTTAATGTATTAAAAACAAGCAAACAGCACCCTATAATTTAATTTCTATAATGATCTGGGATAAGCTATTGATATAGATGACATATCACAAACCCATTCTCACGTTAGTTAAAAAGTGCATCCCCCTCAAATTATTTTTTTAAAATTTTAATAGAAAATAAAAACCACTTTTATTTCATAGTAGCAGACTGCATATAACTTTTAGCAAAAATCTAGACTTCAGCTTACAGGAAGTATCAACCCAGTTAGCAAGTCATGAGGCTCCTACTAAGAGATCTCATTCCAATTACTATAAAGGTATCTCCGTTACCTTATGTTGACTAAATCCCAAATTTAACCCCAAATTCTACAAACTTAAAATTAAACATCTGGATATAAAATGCAAGATTGGTATAATTATGATATGTACAATACTTAAATAAAACTAAATTACATTTATAAATACTATAAGCATAAAGGGATTTTTTGACATTGTTGGGCTATTAATTTCCACCACCTGGCCCATTAGAATTCAAAAACAACAGAAATTTAGAAGCTCTCTAAGCTACTAATAAAAAGCAAAAGTGTTTGTCTTGTTTTTAATAGGATTTTATTTCCCCTTATCCTACTAGTTATGAAAACAAGCAGGGGGGAAAAATACAGACTTTGACAGAGGGGACACAGCACTCAGCTTAAAAATCTGCAAACTAGAAAATCAACTGATGATAATCAAGAGTTATTGTAAAATGCAAAATTTTCTGGCAATTTTCCTTAACAGCTCAAGCAAATTAAAGCTTCTTTTAAAGCATTAACTGCAAAACAACTAAAAGAACAAGTAAAAGCATACCTTTTGCTGTCTTTCCTGTAGCTATTGCTCCCTCATTCTTGACCTTCAAACTCTGTATCTTATCTTGTTCCAGAACCATTGACAAAGCCTTCTGCACATCAAACTTGTTCTTCAGAACTGCATCAATCAATGTGTCATCTGGCACAGCATCTCCAAATACCTCTCTCATGTGATCAAGGCATGAATAAAGACGAGCTAGAACAGACAATAATTAAAAGCTACACCAAATGGTGTCATAAAAAAACTTCAATCTTCGAAACTGAAAGAATTGAAACTATAATAGGATGTTCAATTCTTTTTTCCTCCACAATTTATTTATATTATATTTTTATCCACAACATACCAATCTTCCTTTATCAAAGAAACAATTTCATTAATCAAGAAATAACTGTAATGTCTCCTAAACAACACTAATGCTTGAAAAGAAACATCAACTATATACATGGGTGAACCCCCTCCCAAAAAAACCCCAGAATATAAAAAAATTGTGTATTTATATAACATTTAAACTTCAGTCATCTTCAAAGTACCCTCCATTTGATGCAATACACCTATCAAGACTTTTCCACTGCTCTAAACAGTTTTGTAACTCATCGATTTTGATGCCTTTTAGTACTTCTGCCATTTTTTTTTGTTTCACCCCTTCTGCATCGGCAAAAAGTTTCCCTTTTAGGGCTCTTTTCATCCAGGGATAAAAAATAAAAAAGTCACTCAGGGTGAGACTGGGTGAATAGCGAGGGTGGCGCATGAGGGCCATGCCGTGGTCAAAAACTGCTGAGCCCTCAACAGTGTGGCAGATGCGCTTGTAAATCACCCATTGTGAGATAAGCAAACATGTTGAGTCTTCAAAAAAAATTCACTGAAGCTGAAGGCAGCCTCCTGCAACACCAACAGCTGGTACATGGATCCAGGGAGGTTCCTAGAACACTCACCTAGCAAGGAAAGCCTGTACTACAAGGGGCCCAACCTCCAAAAGATAATTCTGTTTTTTGGGGGGGTCTCCCCTCATACACTCGTATCTATTTTCCAAGATGATGATGTTTTGCACTGAATTTTACATGTGTACAAAGGGAGGAGTAGGTGTCGGAGTATTTCTAGGTGTTAGGGAACCCAATCACTAAGAGTATTTCTTAAAATTTATTAAATTATTATTAAAGTTTTCTTTTAGGCTAGCTTCAGTTTTCCCCAGCCAACTAAAATCGCCCTTAATAACTCTATAAAAATGGGCAAGATACCCTAATATTAAAATGTCATAAAAATAAGGAAGTCCAGTAGATTAAGAGAATGGACATTCATTTTAAAAACAAAAATTTTAAATCTGAAAGTCTAGTCTTTTTAAAATTTTTATTTTCTGATGACATTACTTATAAAAAGTAATTGCTAATAATATTCATTAGTGATGTAAATTCCATGAGAATTATATCTCTGGATCCTAAAACAGGACCTGCTAGAGGTCACTACTGAATAAAAATGGATGAACACATTAATTTATATTTGTACAGCATGTGACAGTTTTCAAAAGTTTATATATTTTGTAGTCCTCACAATAACTCTATGACCTAGATATATCAGGCAAATTCTAATTTATAAATATGATTGAATATCATGGAATTACACCCTACAATGACAACGACCACACTTTCTTTAAAAATTCAAACACTACTGAGAAGTTTTAAACATAACTGAGGTTTGCAGACTCCCTATTCTGTAACCATTTCACAAAATGCAACTTATATTCCATTTCATATGCTTACATGTTGAACAGGAATCTACTGGCAATACCCTACCTTTGTTAAAAATAAAAGCAGTATTTGATACTTTTTCCATTGCCTTCTTTTTAATTAATCATGTGCCACATAATGACATTTTGGTCAACAATGAACCAATATACTGGTGGTCCCATAAGAGGATAATGGAGCTGAAAAATTCCTATCAGTTAGTGACATCACCATCTTAATGTCCTAGGAAGAGATGTCCAACTCATGGCCCACAGACCGCAGGCAGCCCAGGATGGCTACGAATGCAGCCCACACAAAATCGTAAATTACTTAAAACATTATGAGATTTTTTGTGATTACGTGTCACAATGTACTTAATGTGTGGCCCAAGACAATTCTTCTTCCAGTGTGGCCCAGAGATGCCAAAATGTTGGACGCCGCTGTGAGCAACACATACACACATGATTGCGGTGCTGCTGGTGTAAACAACCCTGCTGAGCTGCCCGTCGTAACAGTATAGCACAAATAACCAAGTGCAGTACATGATACTGGGTAATGATAATAAATGACTGTTACTAGTTTAGATATTTAATATATGTTTTATCATGAGAATAGCAGTTTTCACCCAGTATGCCAAACATGTAATACCTGACGATTCAATCAGGGGCACTGCCCTCATTTCCCTTAGACTGTCAAATAAAAAAAAGGACAACGGCCAATACAACAGTAGCCCTGTGGTGTAAATGAGTCAAAATTATACCTTTTTTTGGTCAGATCAGCAAAATATGTATTTTTGTTGTGCTGCAGAATTTTAGTAGTTTATGAGTGCCAGGAGATAAAAAAGGTTGAAAATTGCTGGTTTAGAGTGTACTCTACTTATTAAAAAAAAGTTTGCTATAGAACAGCATGCCATGTTACACCAGCAGCAGCCTTATACATCTCATTTACTGAGTCTTCATTTAATCTCCTGTTTTACACAGTAACATGCTGAATGGCTTGTAGACTAAGAGCAATACGCATACAATATAGACTAGGTATACAGCAGGCTGTACTACCTAGGTTAGTGGAAGTGCACTCTGATGTTCACACACTAATGAAATCACCTAACAACACGTTTCTCAAAACATAACCTGTTGTTTAGTGGCACATGACTGTATTAAAAATAAATTCCTCAAATATTTGAGTAATTCTGCTTTGCTTGAGTCTAACATTGATTTTAGACTAATAATGTACACTTGAAAAATTATGCCATATTTATTTCATAAATACATGAATTACTGTAACTGGAACAGAATGCTTAGTATAGCTAGCATCAAGGCCTCTTCTAATTAATTACAGCAACTATTTTCTACACATACAAAAGTATGTGTAAAAACAGGTAGATGAGTAGAAACGTGAACTCAGGCTGTCTTGATTCATACCCTAATGCCGCTTACTAGCTGGTACGATATGTCTCATTTTCCTCACCTTTAATATGAGGAAAATTAACTGGCCTACCTCATAAGGTTGCTGTGAAGATTAAACATATTAACATCTGACCAACATTTAGAAGAATATCTGAAAAGCATTTAGTAAAGGTTAGCTACCATCATTATTATTGTTATCATGCAATTAATTATGTCAGATGGGAATGATTACCTTTCATTCTCAAACATAATTTGAATTTCATACCTTCTTAATCATTCTGAGGCATAGCAGAAAAAGTATAAGACTTCTACTCTACTCCTACCCTCTCACCCCAAAATGACAACTATAACATTTTCTTCAAATACACAAATACTATTAAAGAGTTTTTATAGCACCTTCTCTACAAGCTTTTATCCAGATTGTTAAATGTATTTGCAGTTGATAAAGAAATTTTTTTAATTCTATCATGTAGTGACATCACCATTGCAATGCTTCCCTTTCTTTCTGATTTCATGTATTTGTGTTTTCTCTCCATTTTTCTTGGTTAGCAACTGACATATATTTTACTGATATATTCAATGATCAGCTTTCAGATTCTTAAATTTCCTTTTTTCCTTCTAAGTAATTGTTAACCAATTTTCAATTTACCAACATTTACAAAGTCACACTCTAGAGAAGTAAATCAGCTCAATCCTGCTCACCACCAAGGGATGCCTTCACTACGATACCTGGCCATTTTAGTTCTGCTACACTGTGTATATATCTATGGTTTGAGTGATGTTTGAAACAACGTCATGTTAATTTACTTATAGAAGACCAAAGCCAAAATACAAATATCTCTGTTAAAATGTTTAAGAGCACTGAAAACATTAAACTCAGGACTGATCTCACTACTATTTATGAGTTCTATCTTAAACAATTTACATGGATATGACCCATCAGGGTACTTTGCAGAGTGTTACTTTGGACCTGAAATATTTTAAAAGACAGAAAAAAAAATACCAAAAAACCAGCCTTCTGGAACCTAATGTTTTGTAAGGAAATGAACTACTATAATCATAAGCTCTACATAGAGCATATAAAACAATAAATATTATTAAAAGACAACAAATCCTCATGTTTTTCTCCTAGGATCAGATGAAGATTTCAATTAAAAAAAATTCCAGCTACTAAATAATAGCCATACAATCTTCTTGTTTTAAGTATATTTTATTGATTATTCTATTATGGTTATCCCATATTTTCCCCCATTTACCCCTATACCCCCTTTCCCTCCAGCACCCTTAGTTCATGTCCATGGGTCATACATGTAAGTTCTTTGGCTTCTCCATTTGCTATACTATTCTTAACCTTCTTGTCTATTTTCTACCTACCAATGATGCTTCTTATTCCCTGTACCTTTTTCCCTATTCTCCCTCTCCCATCCCCACTGATAAACCTCCATGTGAACTCAATTTCTATGATTCTGTTTCTGTTCTAGCTGTTTGCTTAGTTTTTTGTTTTTTAGGTTCAGTTGTTAATAGTTGTAAGTTTGTTGTCATTTTACTATTCGTAGCTTTGATATTCTTTTTCTTAGCTAAGTCCCTTTAACATTTCATATAGTAAGGGGTTGGTGATGATGAACTCCTTTAACTTTACCTTATCTGAGAAGCACTTTATCTGCCCTTCCGTTCTAAATGATAGCTTTGCTGGAGAGAGTAATCTTGGCTGCATGTCCTTGTCTTGCATGACTTTGAATACCGCTTTCCAGCCTCTTCTTCCCTGTAAGGTTTCTTTTGAGAAATCAGCTGATAGTCTTATGGGAACTCCTTTGTAGGTAACTCTCTCCTTTTCTCTTACTGTTTTTAAGATTCTCTCATCTTTAATCTTGGATAATTTAATTATGATGTGTCTTGGTATGCTCCTCCTTGGGACTCTCTGAGCTTCCTGGACTTACATGTCTATTTCCTTCACGAGACTGGGTAAGTTTTTCTTAATTATTTTTTCAATTAAGTTTTCAGTTTCTTGCTCCTCCTCTTCTCCTTCTGGTAGCCCTATGATTTGGATGATGGAATGTTTAAAGGTGTCTCAGGGTTCCTAAGTCTCTCCTCATTTTTTCCGAATTTCTGTTTCTTCATTCTGTTCTGGTTGAATATTTATTTCTTCCTTCTGTTCCAGATCGTTGATTTGAGTCCTGTTTTCCTTCCCTTCACTATTGGTTCCTTGTATGTTTTTCTTTATTTCACTTTGTACAGCCTTCACTGCTTCATTTTGCATCCATACTCAATCATTTCTGTGAGCATCCTGATTACTGGTGTTTTGAACTCTGCATCTGATAGGTTGCCTATCTCCTCGTCACTTCGTATTTTTCTGGAGTTTTGATCTGTTCTTTCATTTGGACCATGTTTTTTTGCTTTTTTTTTCTTGGTGCACCCCTTACATTGTAAGGGGCGGAGCCTTAGGTAAACGCCAGGGCAAGGCAACCCACTTCACTAGGCTGTGGCACTGTATGTGGGGGAGGGGTGAAGGGGAACAATGCCGCTTGCTGAACTCTCCACCAGCTTTAAGTCACTTCCCCTGCTATCCACAAGCAAATTGGCCCTTCTGACGCTAATTCCCAGGTGGGTAGGTTTGTATATGCTCTAGGACCCCATGGGTCCCTCCAGTGGACTCTCCTGTGGGAGTTTCTCCCACCGCCACAACCCACACAGGTTTTTATAGGCAGAGGTTCTGAGGCTTCATTTCTCCATGCTGGAACCCTGGGTTGCACAGTCTGTCTCACTCCCCAGTTGTTCCTTCCAGTTTATCCACATGCAAACATGGGACCAACTGGTCCACCAGCCGCCCCCTTACCCTTTATCCTCTCTGCCCTGGCTACCCATCTCCACCCCAGCTGGCCATCTCCACCCTTCCTATCAGCCTGGATGAATGTTTCTTCTTTAATCCTTGGTTGTCAGACTTCCATACAGTTTGATTTTTCTGGCAGTTCTGGTTGTCTTTTGGTTTTTAATTGGTTGATGTCCTTTCCTTTGATTGTGCGAGAAAGCGAAGCATATCTATCTATGCCTTCATCTTGGCCGGAAGTCTAGCCAATTTTCAAATATACGGTTAATCATACACTCTGCACATAATGTACTTAATAAAATGTAAATCTTACTTGAAAATATAAGATGCATTTGTATCTTTATTACCCACAATCACTACCATGAACAATCACAATGAAACCAGTAAATTCTGGTATATCGATTATTAATCATTTTCAGGCAAGAAATACAGACTATTTTTTTTATACCTTGATCAAATCCACTTAGCTGATGGTTCAAAAGATAACTGGAAGATTCCTTCAGATCTTCGTAATCATATTCATCTACAGGCTCAACAATAGGTTTGTCACGTCGTGAGTAAATAAACTGAGCAGCTAGAATATAAAATGATGGAAGAAAATTATTGAGGAATGCTTTAGTACAGCCATATCTCATTAACTTTTTTTTTTTAAACAAAAGTTTAAGTAAAAATTAGGGATTCTGATCTACTACCTATAGCCATTTACCTACATTCTAAATGGATCAAAACAAAGACAAAACATACCATACTCTAAGGGGTGTCTAACCTTGCAGCCCAGGATGGCTGTGAATGTGGCCCGACACAAGATCATGAATTTAATTGAAACCTTTTTTTTTTTGCTCATTAGTTTTCGTTAGTTTTTGTGTATTTAATGTGTGGCCCAAGACAACTCTCCTTCTTCCAGTGTGGCCCAGAGACGCCAAAAGTTGGACACCCCTGCTCACAGTCAAATGTCCTAGCTATTATTCATTAGCCTCTTATAATCATCTTCCTTCTTTCCTCCTATCTCCAAAACCATTCCTCTGAACTTAGTTTATCTTCAGTTTTCAAAACCATCTTTCCTGATATCTCATATACCTACCACTCTACCTTCTTTAAATTTTCTCTTCTTTGGTACAAATATTCCAAATCTTATCAAACTTGCTTATTGGTGTAATTAAGAAAATACTAAAAACAGACTAGGATTTCAATTTCCAAGAACTGCTAATTTGCCTGAACCCAAGAGTTGACCATAATCATAGGCCTTAACTTTTGAACATCTCATAACTTTCAATTATACACTGATACTGTATACTAATGTCAGACACCTTTGACTTTCAGACATCAGTCTGCTACTCTGTACTACTGGTACAGTGTCATCACTCAATATGTAATTGGGTATTATATATTCCAATAAAAGGAGGAAACGCAAAGTATCCAAGTGCCGATATATGCCTGAGTATCATAAAAAGCACAAGTGAGCAAATAAGAAAATCATCATGCATGCCCAAAGTGTTGACTCCTCTGCCTCAACTCAGTATTTGGGGACTGTGTTCAATTGTGAGGAATAATATTAAAGAATAGGTTTAAAATGACAGAAATATTAATACAATATTCCAAAGGCAAGGTGTTGTTAGGGATTTTATACTATTTAGCTTTCTGGAAGAACATGTGACATATAAATCTATTGCTTAGCATTCCCACATTTGACTTTTGTGCACGTTTTTAGAAAGTCACTATCTATGAAAGTAAGGAAAACTACCTACATTCAAAATGTATAGATAATGCATATATAGACAATAAATAATACCATGGCTTATGTGTAAAACCTATACTCAGAACGCCATGGCCATCTATTCGTAGTATAAATCAATTATAGTTTTAGAGAGTAGCAGGAAGGCCAAAAAAAAAAAGGTAATGACATTTTTAAAAGCCAAATAAATTGTACAGATAGCAACTGCTGCAGAATCACAAAAGATGAAGTAATCACTGAAAACTGGAGCAGTTATAAAAAGGAGGTAAGAACATCAGAAAAACTGAAGGGGTGGAAGACATCTTAGCCAGGAACAAAATAAGAACTAAAGAGCAGGTGAGAGAATTCAATCTATTGTGCTATAATGCACATTTCCTTATCAAATAAGCTCGTGCCAAATGACAAATAGGGGAATAATGAAGATATAACATTCAAGTTTCTTTGGTTTATGAGATGTCCCCCCCAATACTTCAATGTTTTGCATCACTGCATAACAGCAGCAGGTACAAAGTCCAGTAACACCAACCATAGACTATTATACTATAATTGTAATTATACTGTAATACTACATAGCCCCACATTCTTTCTTTGTTTCAGTTTGTCCACTTGTTTTGTATTTGTGTGTGCTTACTGTTTAGTTCTCTAAGACCTGTAAGCATTTTGCCTTTGCAGCATTACTCATTAGTTTTAACTCTTTTTTTACACCACACAAGGTCTATCCAGAAGCTATCCGAGACACGTAATATGAAAAAGAGACATTACTGAAGAGGATACAAGATACAAGAAACATTGTACATGGGACAATGACACCTCAGTCCCCTTCAAAGGAGGCACCTTGGGACCTCACAGAATTCTCCCAACCACCACCAGCTGCCCTGTTGCATTTTCCTGAATTTCACTGACAGTCTGAAATTTCTTCCCATTCAAACATGATTTTAGTTTTGGAAAAAGCCAGAAGTCACAGGGTGCCAAATCTGGGCTGTAGGAGGGCTGACTCACCGAGGTGATTTGATATTTTGCCAAAATACTCTGGATGAGACATAATGCGTGAGAGGGCGCGTTGTTGTGATGAAGCTGCCAATCACCAGCTGCCCACAACTCCAGCCTTCTGAATCATCGGAATAGTTTCCACAGAGGAATGGTCAAGCTTTACGGAAAATTTGATGCAGATATGTTGCTCTACTCCCTCAGTCATTTTGAAGGGGACAGCCACACAGTACCCATGCTCACTGTACAGCGTCTACCACCTCCACTGACTAGTACAGTGAAGTCATCGTTGTTCACGAATGCACAGTCCAGTCCACTCTCCTTGGCTGCCAGGTGACATCGATGTTGTGGAAACCATCCTCATTATATTAAAAACAGCTGGATTGTTTTCACATCGGCCTCATATTTCTATCAGGCTTTCTCACCTTTTAAATGTCATGTCCTATATTTACTGGAGTATTTATTAGGAAGTTAATGTATCATTTCAAATGTGCAAGAATTTTTATTAAGATGATTATTGTTTTTGTTAGTACTTCATAGGTTGAGTGGTCTGTCACAATCCTATGTTTTCCCCAGAAGTTCTGTGATTTTTTAGCATACAATTTTGAAGATCACAAGGCAGTCATTTCTTAAGAATGTATATATTATGTGGTATATATATATAAATATTTCTATTTTCCCCCATTTATGAAAGGAGAATATAATGCTGCTATGATACAGTCAGCCTGGCTAAACAGCAAAAGAAACATCCTATTTCACAAATACTCTTTAATATGACCACTTTTTTTCACATTAAAGAATCAGAAGACGGGACTGTCTCAATCACATGGCATTTTAGCATTATGTAATACTTAAGAATGATGGCTGATTTTTTTTAGTAGTACATAAAATAATGGTATGTCTTACAATCCGTGGCATAAAATGTGGTAGTACTAAAAAATGTAAACCGCGCCATTTTGTGGCTGGTAACTTACAAATTACTTTCCTGGATGAAATAATTGCTTCAGTTTATCCTCAAAGTAACAAATACGAGTATATTTTCCCCAACTTCCCCTCATAGTCCTGATTTGTCTTAGGTTTAATCTAAAATCAAAAATTAAGTGAGGCAAGAAATTAGATATTTCTCTCAACAATTTTCACTTAGGAAATACTGACAGAGGAAAAAAAGTTGCCAACGTCCAGCCGGGTAACCACACCACCTCCCAGGAGCTTTTTTTTCTGAGGGGTTTTTCTACCCCAAACCCACGCACAAGCCAACTCAGAAACCTATACAGTAGCCACTGTTTTAGCAGCAGTAATGGCTGGATTTCCAGGGGAGTGGGGACAGTAGGAGGACAGTTAGAGGGGGGAAAAAATATCCAAACGCTAAGAAGCTGAAATGAGAGCCTAAAAGGTAACAAATACACTAAAAAGAGAAAAGCAATGGCAAAAAAAAAAAGTATAAAATGCTATTCCTTTCTAAAAATTTAAATGTTTTCTGAAAAATTGGACACCCACTCTAACCTTTTAAATTTAAGGCATTCTGACAAGCATACAAATTCAAAGAATCAGAAACCAGACTCCTGAAATTGCTAAAACTGTTCCCTAAACACCTGAAAATAAAAATCATGTAAGGCGTTCATTGAGTATTTGGTTTTCTAGGTCTCCTCCCGTGGAGATAGTTGGATTCAGTGGTGCTGGAATGGAGCAGGAAATCTGTACTGGTATCATCAGAGAAGGTTAGGGAGCGCTAGCCTACATGTCTCCCCTTTCATCTCTCTTGCCTGGAGACAGCCCACTTTGTATCACATTATCAGTTACTTTCCTAAAAAACCTTTCATAAACTGACACTACACATCTAAAATTAAAAACCACCTTCCATTATATGGCCCCTATTTTCTTTCCAGCCCTCTTTCCTACTGCAACTGAACTTACTATGGGAGTCTTTCCAGATACACCTCACTCGGAGGCCACTACTCAAGCGCTGTTTCCTCTACCTAGGATGCCATTCTTACCCCCCTGTTTCCCAGTCCCAACCCCACCTCCCTCCAGAAGCCTGCCTAGCCTCCTTGAGGCAGGGCTATTTCTTTACCCACCCTCCTGCTGCGTAGCATGTTGTTTGAATGGGATTTTTAACTGGCTGCCTTATAATACAATAATTTATACAATTATTACAACAGGGTTTTTCTTGCACGTTAATTAATGCTCAAAATAGGTTTCATGTTTAAATGGACTGAGTAAGGATCACTACTGTTAGCCATACAAGGAGGCCATTAGATGGAGATGGTGCTAATGCTTTGTTGGCAAATGGAAAAGTAAGCCAGAGTTAACCCCATAAATGTCTCTGGATTAAAAACAATCAATCACAAAAAGCCAACTAGGCTTTCCAAATAACATAACCACTGAAGCTACAGACAAGCAAATGAACTTATCTGCTTTATTTTGTGCCTTCTCTATAAAAGCCTTGCCCCGACCTCCCGTAGTAGAGCACTCCTGACCACTTGCAGTTTGGAGCTGCCTGATTCAAATTGTTGTCTGCTCAAATAAACTCTTTAAAAAATTTTAATATGCCCCAGTTTATCTTTTAATACTTCTAATTGTTTTAGTTGAAACAAAATTCAGAACTGTTCAAATGAAGTGTTATATATAGGCTCTTTTTGCTACGTCAAGCTCCTTGATGTATATTCAATACTGAGTATCAAAGTCAATCCTCCTAAACGGAAAAAAAATCACCCTTTCATCAAGAAAACTGTGCTTAGTAGAGTTAAAAAAAAATACATTTGCTGATGAATTTTAGAAATTCATACTAATTGACAAAATCACTCAATTACCAGAACTTATTAGACCAAGAATAAAATTATCTCTTCAATGCCATTAGCTGCTTCTATAAGAAAGTATCCTTCTGAAACTATTCATTTTCCATTAAAAAAACACTTGGAAAATATGCCACTAAAAAAGAAAAGTGTCTGATATGATATTGCTATTTTATACAGTCAGGCACTGCTTAACAACAGGGATACATTCTGAAAAATGCATCACTAGGAGATTTCATCCTTATGCAAACATCAGAGTGTACTTACACAAAATTGGTGGTATAGCTAGCCAACTACACACATCTAAGCTACACGGTATACCAACTTCGTATATGTGATCTGTCCTTGACTGAAATGTTATGTGGTGCACAACCGTACATGTTTTGAAAAATTAAAAAAACCCGAAACCACATGCTTTAGTTGAAAATACCAGTTTGTCACAAAAGAAACTCAAAACCATTTATCTCTTGCTTTGATTAAGTCAGTTGACTTTTTGGCATGTACAAAAGTAACTCTCAAAGAGTCAGACTGTCCTGGATGTCAGCCACACACAAGACACACATCAAGAGCTGTGAAAGACATGGGTAAATTCGGACCTCAAGAAAACTGGCCATAAATGCAAATCTCAGAAAAACACTCTCGGAATGCCTAACCTTGTGTACTTTTAGCTCATTACTCAAGTTTAGGCATGATTTATCCAGATAAGACCAGGTAAATGTATGTGATAACCTGAAATAGAAAGATTTTCTTCACCAGTCCCTCTATGAAGGTTTTCACCCTTGCGAAAGCCACACTCAACCAACATCCAAGTCCAGCAGACCTTAATATGTGTACTGATCTCTTTGAACCTACAAGGTCTGTCCAGAAGTATCCAGACATGTAATATGAAAAATAGAGACATTTACTGAAGAAGATACAAGATACAAGAAACACTGTACATAAGACAATGATGCTTTACTTCCCATCAAAGTAGGCACCTGGGGACCTCACACAGTTCTTCCAATCACCATCAGCTGCCCCGTCATGTTTTCCTGAATCTCACTGACAGTCTGAAATCTCTTCCCTTTCAAAGGTGATTTTAGTTTTGGGAAAAGCCAGAAGTCACAGGGTGTCAAATCTGGGCTGTAGGAGGGCTGAGTCACCTGGGTGATTTGATGTTTTGCCAAGAAACTCCACACGAGACACGATGTGTGAGTGGGCACTTTGTCATGATGAAGGTGCCAGTCACCAGTTGTCCATGGCTGTGGCCTTCTGAATCGTCAGAAGTTTCCATGAAGGACTGTTCAAGCTTAACGCAAAATCTGCTGCAGATATGTTGCCCTACTCGCTCAGTCCTTTTGAATATGATGGCCACACAGTACACATGCTCACTCTACAGCATCTACCACCCCCACTGACTAGTACAGTGAGGTCATCATTGGTCAAGCATGTGCATTCCAGTCCACTCTCCGTAGCTGTCCAGTTACTTCGATGTCAAACAAACCATTCTCATTATATTAACAATGGTTGAACTTTTTCTAGACAGACCTTTTATTTCCAAATCCAATGCTATCAACTATGTCCTAAACAAATGGTTCTCAAAGTAAGTTTCAGAATTCCCTGGAGGGCTTGCTAAAACAATAGCTATACCCCACCATCAGAGTTTTTGCCTCTGCAATGGGGCCAAAAACTACTTTTCTAATAAATTATGAAGTGATCCTAATGGTACATGGACCACATTTTAAAGACACTGTCTAAAACACCTTCACCTCTTCCAAATCAGTATACTAGTCTTCTAACTAATCTACCTACATCTACCCACATACCATCCTCAATCCAGACTCGACTCTGTAGAAGAGGTTTTTTAAATCTCTTAGTTATCACAGCTACAACATCATCTCAGTTTCATCAACATGCCTCTCTACTGCACTTATGAGTGATTGAATCAGTGCTATCAGACATCACTGTCACCTAAAAAACTGTGATAATGAATTGTGGGAGCCCAAAAGGGTTATCCTCAATCTCTACAAAACACGGTCTTTTGAACCCCTGAATGCACTTAAACGAATGCTGATTAAGCCACCTCTCAGCTTCTAACCAGCCTTTACTGTTTTGTGACACTACAGCTGAAGTCTATGCAAAGCACCTTTCTTCTTTGACAGCTGGCTCCCTTTTAGGACCAGCCAACAGGCAAATGCTAAAGGAAGACTGGACTGCTGGAGGAGGAAAATGAACACTCTTTTCCTTTTTGCTTCTTATCCAGTGACTACCACCATAGCAACTCTTCACCTTAAAGGAGGAGTTTGTTCCACTAATGGCAGTTAATATCAGTTTGCAGTTTTCCAGAAATCCCAAAACCAGCTACTTCATGCCCCACCCCCAGCCCAATCCTCAGACACTGTAATCAGCCAGTTGTCTAGAACTGCCTCGTCAAAGGCTGAACCCTAGCTTCACAGGTACTCTGCGGAAACACCAGTACCAGCCATGCCATGACTCCCTCCTCAGAGGTCTGAGTCTCAGCTCTGCAGTTCCTCCTCTGAACTTCAAAGGCAAAGCACCAAAGGAGATCCCTCTCAAAGCAGGTCAAAGTCCCAGCTCTGGGGAGCCCCTTCAACCTCATCCATCTTCCACTAGGAACTAGGATGGTAAATGCTCCCTGAAGTTATCACCCCCTTGATACTTTGGTTGTCCTTTTTGCATTTTTTGTTCTTGAATACCTCCCTAGTTAACAATTTTTTATCTTAAATTCTCTGTGGCAAAATAACTGATGCAACTCCTGTCTAACAGGATACTGACTGGTAACAGTGTTAATATTAAAGGAAAAGAGAAAAGGCCCTAATTAAGTAGACTATATTAGGAAAGAATTTTAAAAGAACTACATGTATTTCACAGTAACAAGAAAAAATGATGACAGAAAAAGCAGAAGCACTAACACAACTTCTAGAGGACCTGTGGCTTTATAAAGAAAATAGAAATTCTAAAAAGTCAGAAGAGACATATTTGGTCTAAAAGTGTTACAGGTTTACAGGACAGCTGAGCAAATCATAGTATATCACAGAAAAGGCGGGCTCTAATGAAAATGTTAATCACATTAAACCCTTAAACTTGTGCAAAGTGAGTTTTATGAGTTACATTTATGCTGTACCTAACTATTTTTCATTGTACCCACCTTTTATGGCATAGGAAAATTTAGCAGGGCATTGTATCTAACTGTTTATAGAGTAGATTGAAATTTGTAGATAGATACATTGTTAAGAGAAATTAGTGAGAGAAAAGTCTGAAACAAAGACTCAGTCTTTGCTGGAAAGAACATATGAATGTTTTCTTTATATAGTGGCAAAGAAGAAAATTTTTGGCAGATTCAACAGAAGAGGCAGCTCTGATGTGGAATCCTAAAGGAATGTGATCTCTAAATCACTCTGTGGTTCCATCAGAAGTTGGAACTAAATATATCTGGTTTATTTGCCCAATTGTTTAACAGGAGATAGACTAAGTACTGTCCAAAGGTAATTCTGTGCACAATGCCTCAATGTTTCTAACGTTCAGTATACTCCTGAGAATATATAATTAACTGCTGTCTGTTTCAGAAGCTTTATTTTAGATAAAATTACCATTTTAGTACAATTTAGATTAATCATATGTTGTAAAGAATATTGGAAAAACCAGTTTTCTTCAAACTGTTTAAAGCTAAATGGTGGAATCAAAACTTTGAATTTTATCAACAGATAAAAAAGTTATTTTATATAATAAAACATATAATTACCTTTTAAATGTTACATAATATTACAGCCTATGTATTCTCTAGTACTAGAATGACAATAATACTTACTTTACATTTTAAAACAGCCAAATAATTAAAATCAAATTATTTCTCACCTGTTGATGGCGAAATACAATAATCATCCTCTACAGACTGGCCATAGAGATCATCATCTTCAAAATCTAAAATAAAACGACGAGATAAATTCATTTACAAGTTCTTCTTATATTTTTAGTTTTCAACAAGAAAGCATCTGAATGTTTTCCCGAAGAAATTAAACTGATCCTCAGAATTAAAGGAAATTGGATTCTGATCGGTGTGGCTCAATTGGTTGGGCTTCGTTCTGCAAAGTGAAAGGTTGCTGGTTCAATCCCCAGTCAGGGCCCACGGCTGGGTTGCAGGTTTGGTCCCTGGTTGGGGTATGTACCACAGGCATCTGATTTGATGTTTCTCTTCCTCTTTTTTTCCTTCCCATCCCCTCTCTCTGAAAATAAATAAATAAAATCTTCAAAAAAAAAAAATTAAAGGAAGTTAGAATGTCCACTTGTAAAAAAAATTGGAAAAATTTTACTAACAAAATAGGTGTTTAATGACTTTATATATTTACACATTTATAGAGACATACGTGGTTCTTCAGTTTTTAAACTAATTGGGATTTATTAACTTATTCCAATTTTTCACCGCATGCGATCAAAAAGTAATACATAATTCCACAGATCACATACTTAGAATTGTCTTTCCAGTGTTGACAAACATTCAAAAATAAAACCCATCCATTTTTTTTCACCAAATGCCCTCTACAACCAATTTTTCATACAAATAATTAGCACAGGGTATATAATCAGACCATAAAAGCGGTTTTTCTTCATGAAGAACAAGGTTATCTCTACAAAAATCAGCTTATTTGAAACTCCCTTGAGGTCATTCTGCTTGGGCTAATTGGCCTTTTTTCCTACTAACTAGAATATGTTTTTTTAAATTAATTAATTTATTTTTCCAAATACATTTGTCTCTGCCTTCTGCCCACCACTTTCCCTTGCCCCCCTCCCCCTTCTCCCTCCCTCAATCCTTCCCCACTTTGGTTTTGTCCATGAGTCCTTGCTATATGTTCCTTGACTTTCCCCTTCCCTTCCTTTTCCCCTGCCCACCCCTCCCTCCTTCCCTCTTGTCTCTGTTGGTTTCTTTTCCTTTCAGTGTTGCTGGTCTTATTTTCCTTGCATCTTTGTTTTGTAGGTTAGGTTCCGCTTATAGGTGAGATCATATTTATTTGTCTTTCACCCCCTGGCTTATTTCGCTTAGCATAATGCTCTCTAGTTCCATCCATGATGTCATGAAGTTTAGTAGTTCTTTTTTTCTTTCTGCTGCATAGTATTCCATTGTGTAAATGTACCATAATTTCTTGATCCAATCATCTACTGATGGGCATTTAGGTTGTTTCCAACACTTGGCTATTGTAAATTGTGCTGCTATGAACACTGGGGTACATAGAATATGTTTTTAAACAAATTTTTCTAAGGCTGTTTCCTCCTCTTGGTTAAGGTTCCCATTGATATGTCACCCATTTGCAGAAGTCTTCCCTGAGCACTCTGGGTAAAAAAAGCAAGGAAGCCCCACTGCCACTTTTATCCTCTAGTACTCTCCTCCAACTGACAGTCTGCAAAGCACTCTATCTGCTGCACTCCATGAGACTGTAAGCTTCTTCAGCGCAAAACTCTGTCTAGCCAACCACCTGGGTTTACCCCACTAAACCTACTAAATTAATACTTGTTTTATTATAAATTAATGAATCAAACTAAAAACCCACAAAGAACATAAATATGTTTACATAAAGTATTTATTCATTCGACAAATACTAACATTATGTCAGGGACCATTAGAGACACCTGGGGTAAAACAGTGAGTGAGAGGCACATTCCCAGATCTCTACAAACCTGAAACCTAACAGGGAACAGTTAAGAAAATGGGCAATTACAAAACGATAAAACAAGTGTTTGACATGAGAAATACAGAGTTATTGGGGAGCACACATATGAACAACAAAAACAAAATTGGGAGTTGGGTAGCGAGAGAAAGATCCCAGGAATATGTGAACCAATTTCAAAGGATAGTTAGCTAGTTTCCGAGGGTATTCATGCAGTAAGAACACATGTTCAAAGGCTGAGACTATATGTCTATGGCAAAGGAAAAATAGATGAATGCTGTTATTGGATTAAAATGTGTAATTCAATAAATTAGATCACAATCCTGAGTTAATAATAACTTGTTAGCAAATGAAGAACCATTCAAAAAAAAATCTTTTAGGTATAAAAGAACAACAAGAATCTTTTTTACTAGATCAGTTTCTCAATACTGAAATTGAGCCTAAAAGTAACACAATCTAAAAATATAGAGAATTTTTTCCTGGGATTTTTGTAAAGTGCTTCTTTTTCTCAAAAAAAAAAAAAAAAGTGGCAGTATTACTTCATGGGATTAATGTGGCAGTTGCTGGAGTAAATATCAAGTATGGACTCTGCCTTCCTGGCATGTTTAAGTTAGTAGCCAAGGCAGTCATATGAAGTGCTATCCAAATTACAGGGAAGAACTAAGTGAGAGTTAAATAGAGGAACCAATAGGTTTTGAAGCACAAACCTCTTCCAATGAAGTTATATTAGTTTTGAGAATTTTTAGGTTATTCTGAGAGTACAAGGGACCTTAACTTTATAGAAGAGAAATAAACTGAATTTGTGAAACAAGTTGAAATTTTGTAAGCAGGAAAAGGGGATGACCCTTCTATGTAAAGGAATGGCTTGGTTATGATGTCATCAATTGTTACAAGGAAACCTAACAACCTAACCTGGGGTTGCCAAGGTAAGATACTTAGCTCTCATTCCTTCAGGCCAAGCACTTCTCCTGGAAGCCTCCCCTCACAGAAAACTCCTATTCAAACTCCTCTAACCCACCCTGAATAAGGTGCTCGCAGTTCCGAAGCTTCCACAGGACTCTGTGAGTACTTTTTGAAGCACCTCATACTTTAATCATCTGTTACTTGTGTATCTCCCCCTTTAGACTCCCTCACACATCTTACCATTGGCCCCCAAAGCTTAGAACAGTACTCTAAGCATTCAATTAATGAAGAATAAGCACTCAATAAATGTTGGTTCAGCAAATGGCATTTATTAAAGAAATAAATTACTTTGTTAAGATAATTAGGCCTACTCATGTTTTTATAGCATATCTGCAAAATATGGCTAAAGTCATATCTAGCTAACACTGGTCCACATCCAATACATACATCCACTGCAATACTTAAAACAGCCTCCATTCTAAAGTGAACACCTAACTAACATATGCCAGGCTGACTGAGTTACAGTCTTCAAATGCAGCTCAATGTGTTAGCTACTCTCCACTAGGTTAATGTTCTGCAGTAACCTGCTGGGAGAGCCAATAATAATCACCAACATATTAAGCACACTACATGCTTTGCACTTTATAAAGCAATAGGTCTTTATGCCTCTTCTGCCCTTGATCATATTTGTCTATAATTTTAGTTTGTATGATGCTTAGCGTGACCCATAATTATTCATTGCACAGAGATGTTGTGCTTGTTCTAAACTAATTCTAACTTCTTTTAAACTCCTAGAAAACATTTGTATTTATCTTCTTTTATTTCATTTTTTTAAAATCAGTAAGTCCTTTACGAAACTCTCTTTCTTCTATGATTACTTTTTGCCTCCATTCCCAAATACGTTTATAATGATAATAATCAATCAAGAATTAAGTAAACAGCTAATATCATCTAATCGACTTATTCTTTGGGTCTTTTTAATAACTAATCTTATCTACCGTCTCCTAAATATCCAATTTACCTTGAAACTCATAGAAAATATATTAACCAGTTGATTCAGGCCAGTTTCGGTACTTAACATGTATGAAAACACAAAAGATTTACCATGTAAATCTAACACAGTAGCAGCAAAAGAGTTGACTATGTAACCATTAAGTAAGTCCGTGTTTTGCAACTAAGCAACGTATCATGAGCAGTTTTGAAAGGGAGTCAGGGGGGACGGGAAAAGAAGCTAAAAGTAGGCAGTGTGTACCAGGCCTAGGAGAAAACAACGGGAGGGAAAGCTGACAGTGCTTACGTGCGTAAATACCACCGGGTCCCAACCTCGCCAAGTCCTTCCCATATGACGCCGTTCAGCACCTCCCCCATCCTAAAATCAATCCCAGAAGGCTGAAATCACGACAAAAAACACCACCATTCTCCAGCACACAGATGGCCTATTATTTTCTCCAACTAAGCCTGCTCTGCCTTCCAGGCAGACACCACTGACCGGGAACGCACAGACAGAATGCCAGTAAGCTGGGATCCCAGCTGGAACGGGGAAAATGCCATTCGGCATAAGCCTGCCACCTACCTTCATCGTAGTTATAGCCTCGAACATTCCGATGCCGGGCCATGGCGGCGAAGAGGGCAGTCGCCACAGCCCTTTGCAAAACACCCGCTCAGAAACTGATAAGGCGCCAACTGCGGCCTGGAGAACACCTAAACGCCATTTTAGCTTCCGGCAGGCCTCAGCGCTGAGCGCCTGCGCACGCCCGACGTCTAGTCTGCGCACTGCGCGACGGCAACCTCTCAGGGTCACCGCCTGCCTGGGAACGCATGCGCACTCTTGCAGTTTGGGGTTCTGTTGTGGCGTGGCCCCGCCTACACGCAGACTGACTGACCGGAGTTCCAAAGAGGCGGGATTCCACTGCTCAGAATTTGTTAATTTGGACCAACTGTTACTAGCTACTGCCCCATTCCTACAAACGCGTTGCGGATTATTTTCCAAATTTGGTTTCTGATAAACTAGTGAAAAACCTGGCTGTGTGTATAATAAGAGCCAGTACCCTGTCTTTTACAGCTTTCATCTTTGAGGCCTCTTTAGGCCCATATAATAAGCACTTAACAAACGTGTATACTTTTTAATGAGTTAGCCCAAACTTTAGACAAGAAAAAAAAATACTCTTTTTTAAGAGGATGTGTATGGTTACATTGAGAATCTGGCTACACTATGTCACCAGGCCTTCATGTAATTCATGGTTTCAGGCGTATGAGTCCTGCATTAATACCTGTAGTAAACTGCCCTTGGCTGTTTCAAGGATTGTCTGCATCATAAAAAAAAAAAAAAAAAAAGGATTCATTGAGCATTCATTTAACACATAATCTTGTGTGACATGATTAAATATGAAATACAGCTTTTTTGACAGCACATGTAAGGCCACTTATGGCAATGATGAATGTTGTTGATGAATTAATCTATAACCTATTATTAAACGTCCTCATTTCTTTGAACACAAAGTGAATGATGCATGTGAAAAACAATCTCATTATCTTACTGAACAAACTACGCTTTGGTTTTAGCTTGTTTTTTTGAAATGATGATAATTTACATAAAAGATAAGTTCTCAAATTCTAGAAAAGAATTAAAAACTTAATCAGCTTTTTCTTATTTATAATAGAGAGAAATAAAAATGTAAGTTTAATTCATAAGTGGCTTCAAGTGTAATTTATACATTTACTTGAATGTGCCTGACTACCGAAAGTTTGTTCTGAACTATCATTGTTGTTTACTGTAGCTCCAAGACAAAATTTTACCAAAAAAAGTTGTTAATTTTATATGGCTTAGGTGTTTTGTTTATTTTACACTTGTAGATAATTTTGATGTTACACTGTTTATTTATTAGTAAAATAGTGTAAAACTCAAAGTTGTGAATAATAAATTTATCTATGTAAGATGATTTCACATAGATGCTATAAAATTTCAGATGTTATTAAAATACAAATGGCTCTTCCAGCCACTATAGTTGTCAATTACAAACTTCAGTATAACTCACTGAGGTATGAAGTAGACGAGTTATACATTGACCACACAAACAGAACTATAGGAGCAATAAAGAAGAAGACATCACTTCTGCCTGAAGTAAATACATAATTCTGCCTGAAGATACTATATAATCTTCCTCTGAGTCATCAAAAATACACTCCCTTAAAATTCTAAATACTTGAGAGCCTTGACTGCATCCAAATATTAAGGCTTCAGTAGCAAAGCCTTCACCAATTTCCTCAAAAAGATATAGGGATTTTATCCTGTGCCCCCAGAGCTCTTTAGATGTGCTTGTAAGTTTTGTGTTGTGGTTTGGTGGAAAGTACCAGAACTTTGGAGTCACACAAACCTGGATTTCAGTACTGTTCTCCCACTTTCTGTATGGTAACTTCTTTGGGCTCATTTTTTTTTTTTATCTCTGTAATGGATATAAGAAGATGTGCCTTCTATTTTGTGAAAAGTAAATAGTGATGGATGTAATAACATTAGCTGTTACATAAAAGATACTCTAAGGGAGGAAAAATTCTCTGCCTGCTTTAGGTCTCCACTGGGGGTCTAAGAATTAAACTGACATAAGACAAGTTAACAGGAAAAAGCATACAAGTTTAAATTTTTACTGGTACATAGGAGCCTTCACAAGAGGATGAAGACCTGAAGACGTAACCAGAGCAGAAAGCTCTTACACCACTTAGACAAAGAAACAATCAATTTATGAAGAACTGACAAGACAGTGGGGCTTGGGCTATGGGTAACAAATTATGGGGAAGTAATTAGGAGATATATGGTACGGGTAGTGGGGGTGGCAAAACTGGTAGAAGATAAGGGTTATTTCAAATAAGTTTGCACAGATCCATTTCAGCATCAATTTCCAGTCTCGAGAAGGATGTTCTCTCCTCCTGTTATAGGGACAGCACCTTTCTCATGGCCTGTGTTATATAGTAAAGGGAAGGTTAAAGAGCCCTTCTTGCATCTGCTGTTTCTCAAGTTCCTTCAGCTCAAAATAATCAACATGAAATTTTGGGGAAAAACTCCTTCAGTACTCCATAAATGCTACTTCTCCACCACACTAATTGGAAAGCTTCACCTGTGTTTGTTCAACACCCAACTGGCTGGCACTTTCAATGTTTGCTAAATGAATTGCTGAATTTAAAAAGATCAGTATAGTCTCTGGCTATGAGATATTTAACAAATGCTATAAATAACTATACAAATAATTTTTTATCAATTTGTTAAAAAACTGTAAGTGAAAGCAACACAACAACATTACCACAAACTTTTAACATCTTATTGAGGAATCCTTGACAAACAATAAACTGCACACACTTAAATTATACAATTTGATATGCTCTGACATATGCCATCACAAGTGAGACCATCAACCCAAGTAAGATAATGAACCAGATCCCAAAAGTTTCCTCAATGACCTTTATGATCTCTCCCTCCTGTTCCCCACTGTCTCCTCACAGTGGGCCCTGGCAACAACTGATCACCTTTCTGTCACTGTAGATTAGTTTGTACTTTCTAAAATGTTATATAGAGGAAATCATATAATATGTATTCTTTTTCACCTGACTTCATTCACTCAGTATAATAATTTTGATATTTATTCATGTAGGTACATGAATCAATAGTGCATTTCTTTCTTTTTATTGTAGAGGGGAAGTCCATTGTATGGCTATACTGACAATTTGTTTTTCCATTCACCTATGAATAGAGATTTGGGGTTTAAGTTTTAGCTACAAAAAGTAAGGTTGCTATGATCATTCATGTAGAACTCTTTGTATAAACATAGCTTTAATCTATCTTGGGTAAACTACCTAGGAACGGGATGGCTCTGTGACATGATAGGTTATTTTTAGCTTTTTAAGAAACCGCCAAACTGTTTTCCAAAGTGGTAGTAACATTTTATATTCCCACCATCAGTGTAGTTCCATATTCTCCACCTCACTGTCATTTGCTATGGTCTACAGATATTATGCTTATTTGACATTTCTGTATCTTTTTGGTGTGGTGTCTGAATCTTTTTGTCACTCTTTAATGGGATGTTTGTTTTCTCTCTTTATTTTGGAGAGTTCTTTTTATATTCTGGATATAATTTCTTTATTTGATATATAATTTGGAAATGTTTCTCCAAGTTTGTAACTATTCTTTTCATTTTTAATACTGTCCTTCAAATAGCAGAAATTTTTACTTTTGATGAAGTCCAATTTATAATTTTTTTTTATATCATGGGATTATGCTATTGATTTTGTATCTAAGAAATCTTTGCCTATCCTGAGGTCAAAAAATTTTTCTCCTTTTTTAAAATAATTTTCACAGTGTTAGGTTTTAAATTTAGATTTATGATCCATTTTCAGTTGACTTTTGTGTATGGTATAAGGTTTGAGTCAAGTTCATTTTTTACATATGTATATATTCAAGTGTCCCAGAACTGTTGTTGAAAAAAGGGTCCTTTCTCCACTGAATTACATATATGTCAAAAATCAGTTGTTCATATATGTATATTCTATTTCTGGACTCTCCATTCTGTTTCACTGATTTACTGATCTATTGACAACTGATTAGCCCTCAACTACCAACAAACCAAATATTCATCAGTAATAAATCAATTGGATCCATTCAATAGGAAATTGCATAGCATTGAAAAACCACAAGGAAGGTTTTATACATATGTAAATTTTTATTCTGTATATTTAAGACATGCACCTTCAAGTGTATGTTGTACCTCATTTTAAAAATACCAAATAAAAAGAAAGTGGAAAAAAATCCTTCAATGGAATTTTCAAACTATTTTGACACCAAAAATATATGGATGAGGACCCATGGACATGAACAACAATGTGGTGACTGCAGGGGAGGGGAGTGTAAGGGGGATAAATGGTAATGGGAACAATACAATAAAGAGTAAATTGCAAAATATATATGTATCTATATTTCAAGTGTTTCATTTATGCATTCATAGTGTCCCATTCTAAAAATATGTATTAAAGCTAAGAATTTTTGTAGATCTGGGTCGGAATTCATTCAGCGATATATCAGTATTTCCCAGAGTGCAACCTATTCCTTATTTTGTTTTTTAAACTAAACGATGACTAGTCCATTTAGACTTAAATTTTTTTTTTTTTTTGTTGCTGCTCTTGGCAGCTACTTAAACACTCATAGGTGTTTTGGTAAATAAATTATGGTGACTTCTGCACTCAATGATTTTTTAAAAGAATAAAGAAATTGATCTTAATCATTGGGAAAGGAAGAGAGGAGGAAGGATAACTGTACTTGTGACATTAAACACATCATATAAGAAGCCTAGAAAGAAAATAAGTCTAGAAGAGTCTACTAATCATCCTAGGCCTGCTTTTCATTCTATGAAAGCGATGCTGCATTGTTTGAACATGCCTAGGTTTAATTCAAACCTATCAGGATTTTGGAAATGCTTTTCAGCCAAGAATACAACTTCTAAATACAAACTCTTTTCACTATGTAACAATTACATGTGACTTTAGAGATAATAAAACACATTACTTTGAAAGATATTTGATAGTATCTAAAATAAAATATGATGAAAACCAAAAAAAGTGCTAGAGTTTTCTAATGAAATGCCCAAGAAAGTATGGCCTATACTGCAAACTGTAAAACCACATAGTTGTGTAGAAGGATCCTTTTGGCATCCCTTGCAGTTCTGTGATTGTGATTATACACTAATAACAAATCTTTTCATCCGATTATTATTGCCAAATATCTGTAAAACCTGTAAACAGATGACTTAATTTC